AGAGTAAGAGTCAACAGAGATGTTTGCATTGATACTCAATGCAGAGAAGCAAAGGACTGGAGCTACCTGAAATGAGCCGCTCATCCCTTGAGGTCATCTAAAATTAGCCTTTCATCAATATATTGATGACTTCTTTCACTGCATTACCACAGCTGTTAACCTATTGCCAGCTCCTTCCACTTTAGAAAAGATAAAAGGTCTTTTGAAGTCACATTCCTCCTGGGCATCTGCAGAATCTCTGTGAGATTATGGAAATACGTTCCGTAGGTGATTAGCATAGGGATGGAAAAATCAAAAAGCAGTCTTGAGAGACAGAAAATTATGGTGGAAAAAATAGACATCATGAACTTTAATTGACAAAGTAGTTTACTAAGACTCCTGGGATGGGTGAATAATAACAAATGATTTTTTTCTTTTTTTGGTCTGCATCGTATGAGAGAGGATATAGAAAAGAATCAGCAAGAGCAACTATTGGGATAAAGGGAAACATTAAGACAAAGAACTCATGGTCACAGAAAACAGCTTTACTGCATCAGAAGATATTTTCAAAAGAAAACTAGTGGAAGACTGCAGTTGAGGCTATATGAAGATGGAAGAATAACTTCTTAGGAAACTTCACTCACACATCTGTCAGTGGTTTGCTGTCAAATTATAACAGCATATCATTTGTGAATCTGTAAGGGTTAAGTCCTGATCGCACTGTTCATCTTTATTTTTTTCCTCAGTGTCACAGTAGTATCCTTACCCTCTCCATTTCAAAAGAAAAGATTAGAGATTAATTTTTCTTTCTCTTTGTGTTGGCACGAGTATTTAAGCGTAAAGCAACTTGCTTCCAACTCAAACAATATTCTCCTAATGGTTGTGTTTTGGGTGAAACAACAAAGTGAAACAACACGGTGTTTGATTTTTATTTTGGCCAGTGACCAGAAGATGTTTGGCTGCTGCGTTTGCTTCCAGCTGACCTTTTGGAAAGACTGCAGCTAAAATGTCTGTCCTTTCCTAGACATGGTTACAGGACAGTAGGTTACCTGATTCACATTGTGAAAATTTTTCTGAGCTCATCTTTAGGAAATTTGAGCAGTTCCACACTGTGGAGAAGAGCTATGAAGAACACAGGAAATCCATTTTATTTTGTGGATTTGGATTCAGTTATTCCAGGGCTTGTAATGGGCTGAGAGGAACAAATTAATGATTATGATGATAACAAAAGTGATAATGTTCTTCAGTATGAAACCAAGCTGACCTCTTCAGCATGAAGGGTTGAGAGACAAATTACATTACATGCCCTATCTGCTTCTGCATCAACACCAGGAAGACAAACCAGCCATGGACCCTTCCTAGAAGGCCCAGTGTCCAAAAGATGCATGACATTTGTAGGCAACACCAACTAAGGCTGCTCATCTAACACATGATGCTGCAGATATCTTGTATCCCAGAGAGCTGGGTATGAGGCAAAGAGATAAAATCGCTCAATATTTTTCCTGTCCCTGAGCTTCATTGGAGTCTTCACCAAAGACACATCCAAGTCAGGCAGTCAGCTCCATAGAAGTACTGCTTCATGGGCACAGATCATGGTGCTCAAACTGTCTGTTAAACATTGCTGTCTGATAGTAGAGGTTTATTTCCTTCTCCTTGACTGCATTAATTAAATCTCCCATTCTCTTCTTGTTGCAGGCAGGATAAGCCAAAAGCCCTACTTTTGACTGAACTTTGAGTGACTTGAATATCTTGGGCTTGCAGCCACTGACACAGACTGGAAGACAGAGCTTGTTGCATATGTTAAAGTAAGTTGGCATCAAACTCACTAGAAAGCCTCAGCAACCCATGAAAATATCAGTAAATTTTACCAAGCAACAAAATCTTCTCTAAAGAGGAAACAGAAATTTTCAGAAACTGATGGCTCCTTCTCCCTGTCCTCTGGGGCTGAAAACTTGGAAAACATTGCAATCCCTATGTGGCATCTCCTTAAAAGCTTCTTTTACCTGACAATTCTGTCTTCTTAGTACTACCTGAGTCATCTGAACAATCTCCTGCTTTTTCACATACAACTTGGCTGAGCCATCAGTGGTTTGGCTGGTGGTGGTCAACACTCAGGAAAGACACATCTTGTGCTGCTGGTTTTCATCCCAGAGCTGCTAATACTCTGGAGAGGGTCTCCTGAGTACCTCGTGGCAAAGCAGCAACAATCTGAAGGTAGTGAATCTCAAGTCTCCTCAGGCTCAAGATAACTAATTCTCATCCCCAACACCCCTGCAATGAAGCACTGTGACAGAAATGCCGCCCCAAATGTGGGATTCAGCAAGGGCAGGCAAGGACAGCAAAAGGCCCCGGAGAGAATAGAAAGAGAGACCTCCTTTCTTTGTTTGAGGCACTCAAGGCCAGATTGGATGAGGCCCTGGGCAACCTGATCTAGTGGGTGGCAACCAGCCCATGGCAAGACTGAAACTGGGTGGCCTTTGAGGTCCCTTCCAACCCAACCATTCAGTGATTCTGCAATGCTGTGATTCTATTCCTGGGGGGGATCCACAGCAAGGTATGGCTGCATGACAGCTCAAATAAATGATACTGTAAACTGCTTAACAGTAACACATTGTTCCACTGAGGTATCTGCTTCTTAATTCTAGTTGGTGGTGAGTTTATGCTCAGAAACATGAGGACTGGTGGCTCTTGGCATTCTATCCAAGCTAGTCTGACCACAGATGCTGTTCTAAGTGCCCCATCCTCGTTTTCAAAGTATTTTTAAATTGTCTTGACATCATCCTACAACTGTAAGTGCCACAGGCTAAATGTAAGTTTTTATTTGGCTTGTATTAGCAGCTCATAACACACTCCTGAAAAGAGCCCTGCAGCATGAGGCTGTGTACACAGCCTTTTATGCTTTCCTCCCTTGGAGCCATCTCCTTACAGTATCTGGCCCTTGTTCTGGATGCAGCCCTGAGCAACTTCCCCTGAGTCATTCAAGACATTTGTGGCAAATCTGAGTATTGAAAGCAGCTCTCCCAAGGGCTCATCCAAAGCTTATTTAAGTCAACAGAAGTCTTTCCAATTGATTTCAATTAACTTTTGAGCAGGTTCCGAGTCTCGGGGCACTGCCTTTGCTGTGACAGCATGCTTTTTATACCGCTCATTTTATACACCTATCAGATTTCTTCCAACAATTCTTTCCAAATTAAATTGCCTTAGGGTGTAAGGGAACATTTCAGAGAGATGAGGGACTGTAAGCTATCACATACTCATTGAAAATCAGTACGGCTTGGATACCTCACAGAAATCTGTGACATTTGAAATTTTCCCCTTAATCAATCCAGGCCTTTCTGTGCAGCCCTTCCCCATTTTCTCTCTGCTCTGTGGATCACTTTTTCAGTAATGCAGAATGGGAAGATGAGAGGAGATCCTGGCACAGCTGGACATTAAGCATCTCCAAGAGACTGGTGCACGAGAAATATATCTCAAAGAGTGCAATCCAAAAAAGGGTGTATTAAAAACGGATGAAATTGAGTATTAGTTTAGTGGAGATCTCCTCCTCCATTTTTATCCTCTGATTTCAGTAGTACATAAAAAAACTGGAGTGCTGCCATGACAAACTAGGCCTATCATTTTCAAGTGCCCTTAATATGGGCTAAAACATTTAATCAACATGTATTAATTTGTTTTAGTGTTCTCTGGGGAGTCCCAGGGTGACTTTAGCACAGAGCTCCTTCTAGCTGCTTTAACAAAGAAGAAAAAGTGGAAGGACATCCACAGTGATTTATTTTCTCTGGATGATCAGTGGGGAAATTGGATACGCATGACACGCATTCATTTAGTCCTCACTTCCCTTTGATGATTAGGGCTGAATTTTCATTCTGGTGTATGGGGATTTGTGTGTGTCACTCCAAACAACAAGTGTCATACATCTAGGTCCAAACGTAACTTTCCAAGAGTGAAATTCAGAGATACAAATCTCTGGTGTAAGTAGCAAAAATAAAATATTGTGATTGCAAGCAAGAAATATTTGTGGTACAAAATTGAAGCCTCAGCCTCATAGAGGCTCGATTGAGTTTGCAATTAAGATGTTTGCCCCAGATTTTATATACAGTATATACATTGGAAAGACGTGCAGGCATCAATTAAGTGAGTAATAATTGAGCAGCGCTTTCAAAACATCTGTTACTCAGTCCTTTGTGCACAATTATGGATAACCAACATAAGGATGTGTGACCAATTCTTTCACTGTGCCAGCATTGCAGCCTCGGCAGTGAAAGGCTGAAGAAAGATAGCTGTATCTTGAACAAATCCCAGTGAACTGCTTGGTCTGTGTAGCCAAGCTGTGGAATTTCATTTGTTTTTAATGGTCATTTGTTTATTAATGCAACCTTTTTACAGACCATGAGAATCAGACTGAAATGCGAGCAACTGTTTTTCAGAAAAAGCCCCTTTCTTATTACAAGACGACCTGACATTCACTAGAAGAAAGGCATTCCCCAAGTAAAGGCCGATGGAAGGATGAAATAAAGCTCTATAATGGATTATGAAGCTTTGTAATTGCTGCTGGCAACCCCGGCAGTGATTTGAAAGGCTCTACTATGGCGTAATATTTTCCAGTTTTCATGTCTCCCAATGTTAAATGATACAAGTAATAAAGCTCTCCCTTCCCTTCCCCTGTAAGACTATTCCATACATCACATTGTGATCAAGTTTTATTTTTGGACTGTGATGAACAACTCACAGGACCGGGCCGGTGGCGAGGCCCGGAGCACATGGTAGTGATGGCATCACGTGGAGCAAGGAACAACTGCCTTCCATCACACAGCACCGAGTGTGCTACGGAAATGAGCACAGATTTAAAAACAAAGCAGTGCCATCTGAGAGTATAGTGTAACCTTGGCTAAATAACTGCATCGCACCCAAATGCTAAACAGATAGTGGGTCTGTTTGAAAATAATCGAGTGCCACCCCCTCCACAGCTCTCAGCAGCAAGCAGGGATTCAGCCCCAAGCAATTAGATAGGAGTGGTCACATCCACATGCTCGCACTGAGAGAATGGGACAGGCTGTACGGAGCAAAGGCAAGGCGGGTGGTAGCAGCGAGCATCTGAGGCTCTGCTTCCAGAAGGCAGCAGCTCCACAGCTGCTTCTGCTTTGTTTGCAGAGAACCATCCTTGATCCAGCTCAGGAAAGGTGCCAGTACGCTCAGCATCTGAAACACCTCAGCCGTTTAGGTATGTACATTTTACATGTAAATCTGGGGAAAGACTAAAAGAAATTGAGATGGAAGTATTTTTTATTCAAGGCTTATGTCTGTCCACTTAAGAAAACAAGCTACTAAGCTGAAACAACACTATGGCTCTGGTTCAGCTGGGCAGCTTTGAACAGAGTGCTTGAGGGAAGCGAGAGAACAACGGTTTTAATAGGCACTGCCATGTATAAGGAGTGGTATAAGGAGAAAACAGTCTCTGCTGCTGTGCCTCAGCAGAGGGCTCAGATTTCCTCATTTCAGGCATTGGTGTCCCAAAACCTTTGCGGTGGAATCTCCAGAGAACCTCCGTGCCAGCAGCACTGCAATGCACCGAGAAAACATAAGTCCGATAATCCTCACACCAAATTTCCATGCTGGAGCATTTAATAGTGTAATTTCCAGCACACATGGGTAAAGCCCTGCTGGAAGGATAATACAAAACAAAACCATTCCCGCTGGACAGGCTGCTCCTGCTCTGGTTCCACATAATAGATTGCATAATATGTTTGCGGAAGTTGGTTTTTTCAGCAACTTCACTGGACATTCCAGAAGAATTTCAGTGAAACCGTATTACCAACAACATCCTGCGCACAAAGGCAAGAGGTGGGCAGGCCCACAAACCCATGACGAACACAGTCTGAATCTTAAAACTATTTCAGAACATCTGTGATGGTATTTTTCATGAGGACTGTTTCTGGTATTGTTACAAGGATATTGATCTTGGTGGAAAGCCTGAAACAACCAGAAGACCCATGTTCCAAATCTGTGAGTCAGCTCAGATATACATCAGCAAGGATCCCATCAGTGAACGTGATTTATGGACCATGGATACTGATGACGTCTCACCATGGAGAGCTGTTAACCCCCACGGGTTTTATCTGGCTTAAAAATACTTTCAGATAGAGCTGGTCTTTTAGGTCATTGAGTATATAACAAAATTTGGAAACAGTTTAGCCTTTCGGACTAGTTATCAATAAGTCCTCCACAACTTTCTCTTTGATTTCGTACTTTCTCAGCATTTCATGTCTTTCTCAGCAAAGTCTACAATTAGGAGGATAGGACAGACATTTTGTATGGATTATGGCACTAGTGGGGGTGAAAGCACTTGGCCTCCAGCCATGCATCCCATTGCATGCTCAAGACCTCCGATAATCCTTCAGAAATACACTGCCTCTTGAATCCTGCTGCTTCATTAGGAACGTAGTTTCTCTGTCTCCTTTCCAGAAGTCTTTCACATCGTTCGGTAGCTGCAATCAAAGCAGGCAGAGGACTGATAAACCAACCTTACCAGCAAAACTCAAAGCCTGTTTGACTGCAGATTTCTGATTTTTTAGGGCAATTAATTTCCCTCTTTGGAGACCCTTCCCCAGTATCTGCAACTAAAATCGATGTGTAATTGTTAAAATATTGCCATAAATTCTTTTCCCCATAGAAAAGTAATTGCAAGCTGTTGATCAAACCTGCAAAAGATACAGAATTGACGTCATGAGTAGAAATTGTTATGGAAGCCCTCACACCCATGGGGACGTAAACTGGAGAACGGCAGCAAAGCATCCTGCAGAACTGAACTCAGAACTGACTGCTTGTAAGATGCACTGCAGTTTCTTACAAAAGCCAATCGCTGCCCTTCATACGTCACTCTGAAAGATGAGATGAGCTGAGGGATCAGAGTGAATCCAGCACTACAAGGGCTTTGGGAAGAAGTATGTTGTAGTGATCTCTGACCCAGCTCGCGCTTACATGTCGTTTCTGAATGGGCACTTGAAAAATTCTTTGCCAATTCTGTTCTCGAGAGAGAGCTGCAGTTTCCCAGAATCCCCAAACTGAAAGGGAAAAATAGTTATTTCAAAGAGTTTTGAGAAACAAACAAACAGAAAAATAAGGGCAGGTTTGTTATTTGTGTAAATACGTCATCCAAACGGTTTTAAGTAAGATAATTCATGTTAACTTGAGAATTCGATTAATTTATCACGTCAGTTTGGGTACTGCTCCAACAAAACCAGCTCCAGCACAGTAGTACAGACAGTAGAATTAACTGACTGTGTATCCCAGAGAGTTCCACTTCTCTGTCACAGTTCATCGTTTCAGCTTTTGAACCCTTATCCAGACACAGTGCCGCTCTTTTTGGCAGCAAAGTGACCTGAAAGCAGCTTGTTGGCATTATAGCCACCTGTGACAATTTTCAATAAATTTCCTAATTAAATAAGCCCCTTTCCAGTGATTCTTTGATGTCATCTAATTTTCTGCCATTTGGTAAAGTCGGAGAGACAGAAGTCTCAAAGTAATTTGAATTTTATGGTTCCCAACTTCTGTTCCCTACAAGGAGCAAACCGATTTCTGTTTCGGTCTTTGAGGGATTATTAAGACAGAGGAACCATTATTACAACAATGAAGGGACTGTTTGATTTTCATACAACTCGTAAGTCTGTCCCTGCTGTTGAAACCAAGATCTCTTGCGCTGTGATATACGCTGAGAACTGAACAGAAGCTGCCGAATCTCAAAGACTCATTAACACTTCAAGAACAAGAAGAAAAGAAGGAAAAAAAAAAGAAGGAAAAACTGGGAAAACATTTACGTTAGTCCCTGCCACCCCTACCCCAGTGTCTTCCTCTCACGCTGAGTTTATGTGCAGACCACTCACTTTTGCTAACTAAAGTCTACTCCATCATGGGGACCACTTGGTAAAGTCACACAGAGACACTTAGGGGTTTCTTAAGCTAAATCCCAGCAGGAGGGACTGAAGCTGTGTCTGTTCTGCATTAATGTGGAGGACCGAGGATCCCCAGTATCATATTTACCGTTCTTTATCCTGCAGTCCTACAGGTGCCCATGAATGGCACTTTGGGTCAGGGGCGAGGGTTGGGTGTAGCACACACCCAGCACGTATCTTTTTCCAGACATCCTACAGCTGCTCAGTTGCCAGATGTGTTTTATTTGCTTTAACCTGAGTGAGAACATCTTCCTCACTGCTGGTCAGCTACATTAAACCTCGTTCCATCATACCTTCCACTAGCTCAGTGCCATCTCTTCCAAAGACGTTAATGCAAGTCTCATCATATTCTGTACTGTGTATCAGCCCTCTGTGTTGGAGTCATTTCCTTGTGTGAGAACTACAGATATCAACAAAAGAGAATTTCCTGATCTTCCTGTGTACACACAGCTGCTTTGCAGCACAGTTTGCACTTACTTACAAAGGCCAAAATGGAGGCAGTAAATGAAAAGAACCTGCAGCCTTCTATTTAAAAGCAAACAGAACCCTACCATTTCCATACCCTTTTATTTTTAATAAAGTTGACTCATCGTTTTGTAACGTGACCAGCAAAACTGCTACAGCCGCTTCCCTATGCAGCGGACCATGGCTGCCCACCGCAGTCAGTCAGTCTTAGGTTCATGCTAAAGATGTAGATGCTTACAAAGAGCTTCCCAAAGATTCTGTGAGTGCTCACAGAGACCTTTACCAACCACTGCAGGCTGTCACATAAAGTCCTTTGTATCTACACACTTAATCCAAAGCCCAATAAACTCAGTAATTCAGAGCTGGAATTCCCATGAATCTCAGAAGACTTTGGATCAGGTTACTAATGCTACCTTTGTTTATAGGGGTTTACAGGAGTTCATATCTGTTTGCCTGCTGCTACTTACACCGCTGTCATATGTTTTTATTTCAGGCGAGGGGCAAAATGGAATGAGCTAAGACAAATTCACTTGACTTTCTATTTCTGTTTCATCGAAGCTTCCATCTGTCTCGGTGATGTCTAAATGTGTCTTCACTGAACATTTTCAGACCTGTGTTCAATTCATCTGATGGCAAGTGTCTTCCTTCAGCCACTTTTGGTGCAGATCAGCCAGCATCCCATTTACGTTTTGAAAAACTACCCTAAACCCTTAACTTTAGGCCAAAAGAAACGATCCTTTGAACGCTAACTCCATATGCAGAAGAACTTCTTAATATTACTGTAAATGGATCCCTTCTCTTCACGTGGCATCTCAGATCTGTGGGTGCATGGCATTTGCCCCAGGAAATGCAGGCAGAGCCATTGCAACTCAGCAGTGAAGGTCACAGACCTGCTCTCCAGACCTTGACCTTGTCTGACTGTGCGACATTGCCAAGGGACCAGAGGAGCAGAGAGGAGGGGGAAGGGTCAGCAGACATTGGAGACAGATGGCCCAATTCATCATCCACCAGAAATAAATTAAAAAAAAAAAATAAACTGCTCCAAGTGTTATACATGCAGTGGTGATTGTAAATTCCACAACTGTGGAGAGCTGCCAAGCTTTTATACACATACCAATGCTGTGCATAACTCCAGAAAGGTGAAGTCAGGAGAAGCTGCAAAGCATAAAGCGTGTTTAGCTCTCAGGAAATTGGTTTGTAAAATGATTATCCAAGCCCTAGTGGAACGAAAAGCATGTAGAAATTAGGAACTGATGGGATACTTTGGCTTATACATCAACAATGCATTTCTGCAATGCATAATTTAGTTATACATGGATGTGATTGTTGATATTATAGTTATTTATCTTCTTCTAATACTATTTTTGTTTTTGTTTTACTCTTGACAATTTCCCAGTTTGAGCTGTCAGCTGTGTGTCCTGGTGAATACAGTACTCTGGTCAGAAGGCAGAGCTGCCTCAGGAGCCAGCAATGCTCTGTGACACCGCTGGAAGGAAGGAAGGGTGTGCAGAGCAGGAGGGGCTTTCCCCAGATAACCTTCCTTGGTTTCACTGAGAAAGAAGGATCTACCTTGGGTTTTTGTAAATTCACAAAGAGTGAGCTGCATTGGCAGTGTTGTTGGTAGCACCACTGAATGCTCCGGGTGGTTTTCCAAGCACAACTTCCCCACGGATGGAGACAACAGCAGCCATCAAATTGCTGAATGTCACAAAGCAGGCGCTGGGAAATCTTGGTTGCAGCCTTTGTGCAGCCCTTCAGCTCTCTTTCCACACAGGCCAGCATCTACGCACAACACAACAAAGACTTATTAATACAACCTCCACAATCAGCCAGTGTGTATCAGCCCACATGTGGAGCTCAGGGCTCCATTCAGGGATTCCTCAGGAGCACATGGTACAGAAAAAGTGCAAATTCGTGTGTCACTGTTCCGAAATTGCCATCCACTGAGCAGCCCTCTGCTTTTATTGTCAGGTGACCTTGAAAGGATCGGATAGAAGGAATGTGTTCTGTGTAAGAAGATGCACTATCAAACGCAGCTGACAAGTTTTCCTTATCTGTCAGTTCCCAGAAGGATCCTGGGTCGCCCTGCTAGGAACTGGTGGAACATTAGGAGCACAACGCACCCTTGCTGCTGCCCCAGACCCCATGGGATCCCATAGCGCAGCCACTTCTCTTGAACTCCTCTGTGCGAGATAGAAGAACACCCTGGAAGTCCTGGGAACCTCCTCTCCAGCTCTGTCACACCAGCTGTTTCCATCCATGCTTTGCCTTGTTTCACTGCACATTCCAGCAGTGAATCCAAGCTGCCTCACTCAGCAGCTCAGAAACGGGAGGAATTTGACAAGGAGGCAGAAGCACTGTGTGCACTGGGTATCACCAGCCAGCCCCCATTCTGACAGGAACGTTTCTCTCACTGCTTGAAGAACAGCCCTGCATCCAGAGAGCATCCCAGATCCTGAAGGAGGAGGAGGAGTAACAAAACAGAAAGTAAGCAGTCTCCCATTTCCTTTGCCTATATTCCAGCTACACACTTGGCCATTGCTTTAAGAAAACAAAGCCCTTTTCCATCAGTTTGTGTTTTCCCATCTTTTTATTCATGTGGGACACTGAGGATATATTTACATGATCTACTTTGAGCACCTGATCTAGGTGTGATTCTCTTACATTTCTTAGGCAGCAGATAGAGACAGGTAGGTACCTGTCCCAAAGGGAACTACTAAGGGCTACCAGTGGTTGGGGTGACTCACAGCCAGTCTCTGTACCAGAAAGGAACACAGCTGTGAGTTGATGCAAGGTCAGCTCTGTCACCCACAGTAAGGCCCACATGAAACCGCAGTGCCCAACAGCACTGGAGCACGTAAAAAGAGTAGACAAGAGGTTATCATGCATAAAGCAAAAGGGTTTGGAGAAACACCATCTGCATGAAAACAGCCGCAGGCATAACAGTGTCTGTTTTCAAGGTAAATAGCCAACACTGAAAACCATCAGGCACCCTCAGCCATCCTAGAACTTAACCAGGGGCAAATCAACGTTAATATTGCAAGCAGGTAACAGTGGAAAACAAAACTGGCTCTCCTGTCTGTCTCAGTCCATGTGTTCATCAGCCTTTTAGTTGTTGTTGTTTTTTTTTTTAAATAAGAAACACAGTGCTGCTTTGGATAGAGGCAGTTTCAGTGCCCCAGGCTCCTGCAGCACTTGCACCCAACCTCTGGTGGTATCAGCAGCAATTACTGTGCTTTGATGCACAGTGTGCCTGGATCATCTGTCACTAGTGAAATTAACTCTAGTGTACAGGCAAAAAGATCTGGGTGTTCTTACTAGGAATGCTGCTGGTGCCTCTGAGGGAGAGAGCAGGAGCATCTTTGTGTCTAACAAGGAATGAATGCAGGCTCTGGAAATAAAATCCTCGTCATAGCTTAAGATTACCTTCCCCTAGGAAAATAATAAGAAATAATATCCAAAGACACTGAGCTCATAAAATCAGGTCACGATTAAGAGTCAGTGGAAGAAAAAAGTTTCTTTGGCTTTAGGTTGTGGTTTTTTTTTTTATAATGCATTCATGCATTTTTCTAGAACGGCACAATTCAACCTATCAAGAACATTGTAGCAAGTCTCAAACTGCTTTGTATGTTTTTAACAGAAATGGTCATTTATTCCAGCTATCCCCTGTTTTTTCCCCCACAAAACTGTATTTTGTATTTCTCTGCTTGCTCAGGGTCCTCGTGACCAACAGAATCATCTCTGGAATTCAGAGAACCTCGTAACGAAAGCTTTGATTCTGCCCTCCATTTTATTAGTAGCGCAAATACCATCTGCGTTATTTAGTCCCGTTTGACTCCACCTGCTGCCCAAAGCTACAAACTGCACCTGAACCAATCTCCTAAGCGCCTGCCTTTTGCTATGGCCGTGTCACATCCTCACATTCACACCGCAAGCAGAAAACCATCATGGGGAGAACCAGCACCTTTTCACCACTCCTGACATGAACAACGGACAAAGCCCAGGCTGGGAAATCCCAAATCCTCCTCTAGGATGTGTGCTGGCAACTTATCAGACAGCCCTTCCTCCGTTACATGAGGACCTACCTTAGAACACCCAGGTGATGCTGTTTTTCATGCAGCTCTCTGAAGGTTTAGCAGCCACTTGGGTTTAAACAAAAAGTAGCCACCGTTCTCAAACTTATCCTGAAATGATTCTGGAAGTCTTGATAAACCCGCAGGCAGCAGTTCCAAACCTTGGTCTCTGGCATGTAAGCGTTCAGCCATTGCCTCAATTTCTTGTCTAGTCTTACCCTGCAAGCATCAACCCAGTACCTTTCCTTTCTTTCCTGTAGCTTGCTAGTTAGCCATGTTCCCACTGCTCAGCAACAACCTTGGCTGTTAGACTCAACACAGATGAACATTTCTAACATAGCTGAAACTACTGAGGTTATTCAGTTGCATTCGGTCTGACACTGAGCAGTGCAGAGATCCTGCTCTACTAATCCACTTCCCATTTAATGAGATTTTAATTTGATAAACCTGATGATCAGATTGATTTAGGCTGACGCTTTTAAAACAGGCAGTGAATGTAATTGCTGTGCTTATCAACTGCCTGTCTCCCCAAATTCAAACTGACGACTGCCAAGCTGCTGTGTTGGCACCACCAAGCCTAATGGCACAGAACGGCCTGCTACTACCCCAGGCACATTCTGTCTCTGATGGTCACAGGCTACAGGCATTTAAGGTGCAGATAAATGCAATGAATAAAGCTGCATGAAACCACTAACTGCAGCCATGAAGTGTATTGCTGGATTTTGAGCGGACTTACTTCACCTGTGAGTAATTTTAGGAACACTTTGCTCTATAACCAATTTAAATGCAAAGTAGGACTTCAAATTCTTCGAGGTTACCACATACAAGTCTATTTACTGGTTAAGGATTTTAAGGGAGACTGGATACAAGTTACTCGGGATGCAAGGATTTGTTTCATGTTTTGCACCCTATCCCTTTTTCAGAGAGGCATGTGCTGTACAGCTACTGACTAGAGAGCAAAGCTGCCCATAGTTCCCATGTCAGGTACAACGTCCTCAATCGTCTGGCTTCTAAGATTTACTGCCAGTGGTAATTTCCTTCTGGATTATCACTCCCCAGGGAAGTTACTCCATACCAACTTCACTTTTCTGCTCTGACCTTGCTTTGTACTGTTAAGTGCACGCATTCCCTGGCTCAGGAAATTGCATTCAATTCACACCTCCTTCTCCTGCACTTCGCATAAAGCAGTGTCAACTGGTTCTCAGTGGGCAGCAGGGGTGCTAAGCAGCTGGTGGAAACCTACCAGATCACTTGAGTCTTGTTTCACTGAAGTGCTCTACAGAGCAAATGCAGGACGTTAAGTTCACTGCTTCTCATTGTAAAATAACCTTAAGCCTATCATACAACTTCACACAGTACAAGAAAGTGTCTTATATATTATGTGAATATATACACGCAATTGCAACCTTTTTTCTTTCTTTTTTTTTTTTCCAATGCCTTTGCTATTTTAAATCAGAAGTATCTGGTCTTAGTTTTTGTTCAGAATAGCACAGCAGATCATCTGACAGTTCTTTGTCAGAATTCTAGGCAGAGGGAAAAAACTCATGGTTTGATTCATGACTGACAGCCTGGTACAAGCAATTCTGGTCATTCGGGATGATGGAATGTGGAATTGCTGTATTGGCCAGAGTGCCAAAGGGAAAGTATGAATTACTTGAAACAATAGCTTTGTCTCATACTTCTCAAGAGCTCCCTAGGACTGACATGGACTGCTCCAGGGGAATCCTCAGACAGTCAACACACACCTGCACATGAGTTACAGCGATAAAACCAATCATTTTAATTGAAGCCATTAAAAAGAATTGTGAGGCAATATAAATGGTAAAAGTATACTTAGGAAGGAAGGCAGAGCTAGCACTTTCTGAAAAGCTTTAAAACAGCAACAGACGCTTTACAAAAGATTTGACGGAAGAGAATAAACTTCTGTAAACTACAGGTACTGTATAAAGGTAACATTAACAATCATCTTATAAAATACAGCAACAGAGACCATACGGATACCCAAGCTTCTTTGAAACTAAGTCTTCTGGGGTCTTGGTTAAAATGTATGTTCAAAAACTATTTTAAACAAGGACTAAAAGCTTCATATTTTTAATTTACAGTTCCCTGGCATAAACATCACACTATACACATCTTCCAAACAAGCAGTAAATACAGTTTTGTTTAACCATGCGTGGTGTCATCTTCTACGAAGTCTTTGGCCATTTCTGCTGTGATCACATCAATATGACTAACCTGGTGGAACAAAACACAGCAGTTATTACAGGTCCCTTTCTACAGAATAAAATAGAGCTTGGTAAAGTTTTCAACAAAGACTAGCTAAAAGTTTACCTTATTTCTGAATTTTACACCATAGAACTTGTCAGCTGATTCCAGCAATTCAGGCCTAAAAGTTGTTGTGATGAACTGAGCATGTTCAGCCAATTCCATGATCATATCTAAAAAGAACATAAGAAATCTTCACTAATGTCACCTTTCTAATTAAGCAAGACATGTCTGAACAGAAGACAGTTTACTATTCCTTACTTAAAATGAGAGTTTGGTTAATTAAAAATAAAATAGAAATCGAGAACGAACCCACACCACATTTATATACTATAATAAATTCCAGGCCTCACCTAAACTTTTTATACCATAAAAAGTTTGTAACTCCTCAGCTGCCCTATGTGCCAGTACTGAGCTTCTACCCAAAGCCCATCTTCAAGAGCAAAGGGAAGCACAAAGGTAAATTCCAACATGTGATGAGATACATCAAGGAGTGCCTCGCACCTGAGAGGTCAGGTACTGTAAGTCACACAGTCACTTCAAGCACACTGAAGATGAGTAAGGTACCTGAAACAGCTTTCCTGTGCTGAGCATCCAAGGCTTGGTCAATTTCATCAAACAAGTAAAATGGAGCTGGATCACATTTCTGGATAGCAAATATCAGGGCAAGAGCTACCAGGGATTTTTGTCCACCTGAAAGTTGCTGCATTTCTCTCATTTCACCCTGCTTCCCCGTGAATGATACCTAAGGAAACAGGGCAACAGGAAGATGACTTCAAAATACTACTCCACAACATCACTTGCTATTACAGCAAATAAATAGATTGGTTCACATTGACTTTATTAAAATACATAGTTCAACCTTAATTTCAAAGACTGCTGAGAGCGCTAGAACACATATTCCTCCTTACCCTTATGCCAACTCCAGTGAACTGGTCTACAGATGGCACACTGCTCTGTGATCCAGATCCTCTTTCACTCTCAGCGCTGCCCTCACCCTCATCTTGGGACTGACTGCCTTCCACATCTCCTTTCTTCATCACTAACGTGGCCTTGCCACCAGGGACCAACTTCTGGAATACTTCACTGAAATTTTTTGACACCTTAAAGGAAACAATCATTATTACATAATGAAATCAAGTGCAAACAAGAGCAGTTTTTACACACCTCAAGTATTTGTTTTTAAGTAGGGATATCCACATTTAAATATAAGCACCAGTGTAAGAGAGAAACGTGAATACAAAGCTTGGTCTAAAAACATGACTTAAACCAACTGCTTTTGTAGTTTTCATTTTTTTCTTCAAAGTGGCAGAATTAAAATAGAAAACAGCAAAAGCAAGTTTGATTTTTATTTCGGTGAGCTTCGGACGAGATGTCAGTTAAGAGGATGAGCTTCAGAAGAAGACTTGACACACACTGCAGTTCAGACCCTTTGCTAACATTAGAAGACTTCGCTAAAATCTGGAAAATGGATTTACAATAGATCATCACCAGACCTTCCCCAGAAGGGGTTTTACACAGTACAAAGAGTTATCAGAAAGGAAGCATTTAAATGGTGTAAAGAACAGCTAGAAAGGTAACATAGTCGAGATCAGCACCCATTTAAGATGTCAGCTTGTTCTTTTGATAGTATTAATCACACGAAACTCAAGTGCCATGATGTGCCTATTAATACATGACAGCTCTACTTAGTTGTGTTTCTTCCCAAGCAGCAGCTACGTAAGGCTATTCATTTCCATTCCAGTCCTTCCCACTGTCGCCATTTTGTTACCTGCTTGAAAGTCAGCTGAATAGCCTCGTATTTTCTAAGCTCTAGCACGTTCATCAGCTCCATGATTGATTTGTAGCCCCTGTCCAGCTCCTCTTGTCTCTTTATTAGTTTTTCCTTCTGCTCTGAGAAATTCACAAACTGATCCAGAGCTTTTTTATTAACGTGACTGTATTTCTTCAGTTCTGTATTGCATTGCTCCAACTTGCGGAATAACTGTGGGGGAAACAGACGTACATGGAACCAGTATTTCACATCTGTTTGCTTATAAATAACATGAAAACAAGCACATTTATTACCTGCTTTAAACTTAAAGTCTGATATTTTTCAAAAGCCTCCTGTGGAAGAGAACCCAATTCTCGGATTTTCTTCATGCATTCCTCCTTCTTCTTGAGGAGCATGCCTTGCCTATTAGTCATCTTCTCCAGTTCTTTTGTGTCATGGTTAATGGCATCCATATGCTCCTTTTCCATGTTCTTCCAGCGTTCCATGCTCTTCTGCAGTTCCTTAATTCCCGCTTCTGTTTTGTCAATAGAGTTATCCAGATCTGAAGTATTGGGGAAAAAGCACAAAATGGTTACGCCCACATGCCTGCACTAAGACAAAAAGCTGACATTTCCTCTCTTCCTTCAGAGAAGTCACACGGTTGAAGTCTAGAAAGCAAAGCCAAAGTTGTGGTGATCCACACAGATGCTATTTCCTATTTGAATAACTGAAGTTTCAGACAGTTTAGGAGAAATTCAAGAACAGCTATACAAAATCATGCTGTGTATGAACACTGCTTCAGATATTATGCCTGATGCCAAAACTCTGTTGGATGTTCCAATGTATATTTGCAGACACTTTCACTTCAATTTGCACAAAATCTTGCTTCTGTCTTTTGGATTTTCCAAAACACCTGTTATGCACTATGTAACTACTACAGCATGTTCAAAACTTACTGCTACTTCTCACTTCGTGCTGTGTGTGAACATTCAAAACACTGAAGATTTTTCTCTGCAAAAAACTGTGTTACCAACCATCTGAGCGTGCCAGTGTATCCTTCACTCGTTTGTTGATAGCCTCAAGTTCTGATGTCGTGGCAGTGAGAACTGTGCCACCTTCTGTTTCTCGGAGCTCATTCAGTTCCTATAGGACAAAGCAAACGCCACCAAGCTTCAGCAAGGAAGGGAACGAAAGCGTAAGCCAGACAGCTTCCACTGTTCTACACACAGTTATTTTCAAAATCTTAAAGGTATTTTCATCTTTTACCAGATCATCATTATGGAGCCTTTCTTACACAAAAACCGTGCATACAGAGCACAAGTTTTGTTGTTGAAGTTCAAGCATAACATGTAATTCAGAATTACATGTTAATTAATTACAGAAAGTGATGAATACATATTTATCCCATCAACAACATGTCACAGCTTTGGAAATAAACAGCATAAACTCATTTTAGAGAAAATCCTTACTTGTTCCACTTGGTCTAAGCGTTTTCTCAGATTCTCGTTCAGATATGTTTCAACTCTTGTTATGATGCCTTCCAGTTTAATCCTCTCATTCAAAAGCTGTCTATTTTCCTGAAAAATAATAATAATTAAGACAGGATATTTACTGCATTAACTAAAATCCAACTACACACTCACAATAAAGCCCACTCTTGACAGAACTCTGCACAAAAATATTAGGCATTTTTGGAGTGTCACTGTTTTTATAGCACGTAGAAATAGCTGCAGAGATATTCACTGCTAGCAGGCTATCTAGTGTCAAGACAATCACAAAGATCTGTAACTTTCCTGAACTGTACTAGCACATGGATCCACACTTCTTAAGAGCTTAAAAGAGTACAGTGACAGTGTTTTTCCAACAACATGTGGCAAACATAGCAAGAAACTCAGAACTGCCTTATTTACCATAAGCCTAAAGGTATCGTTTCAGTTTCCCACGTCATGCATCGTACCCTTCAAACAGTACCTATTTTGAACTTAATTATTGCAAAGCTCAGAAGTAGAAGCAAGGAAATGGTGACAATTCCAGCACTACAGGAGTGTAATCCCAGCAAAAACATAGCTAGCAAAATTCACCCAGCATTTGAGAAAAACATGCAGATAAGTTTCGCAAATGCAAAAACTCCAACCATCCCAGGCCACTACTGGTAAAACACTGCTCAGTTACAACACATTCATCACTGCTGACTCTTCACATAAGGGACCAAAGTAAGTTTACTGGGAAGAAAAGGTACCACATTCAGTTGCAGGACACTTTCATTTTATCTTACTTGTTGCAGTTGCCTAATTTCATCATTAAGAGCATCCACACGTTTCTGATCTTCAAGACTGAGTTGAGACAACAGATCTGTCCCCAGCTCTGCTTTCAGTGACTCTCTAGTCGATTCCATAGCATGTAAACTTGCCTCCAAGCTCTGTAAGCTGCGTTGCTGTGAAATAGATTAGACAGAGTAATTCCTTGGAGCAGCCTGCAGATTTATGAACATTACTTCTATATTTATGCAAATATGGGCTGTGTCAGATCTCTAATCATCTTTTCATATTTCAGTCAACCAGAAAGGAAAGCAAATTCATCAATAATGCCAATAAAACAGTAATATAAAACCAGTAATTGATTTCAGTATCACTTCACAGTACCTTAGGCATAAATGTCTTTTCAGATTGCTGCCTTTTCTCCTTCAGCATTTTCATTTCTGACAGAATACTGTCCCGAGAGGCTTTGAACTTTCTCTGCTGTGTCTCAATTTGCTGCATTTGGTTCATCAGCTGGTCAATCTCATTATTAATCCATTCTGTGGGCTAAGGAAAATTCTTTAAAAAGACATTTTATACCTAATAGTATATTTAGCTTTTAGTTTTTGCCATATTCTGTTGCCCTGATAAGATGAATAAAAATAATCATTTGTACAGGAGAAATCAAGAATCATCAGCAAGAGTGACTTCCTGACCCTTAGCAGTGCCAAGAGCAAACCAGAAGAGATTCATTTGCTGTTACTTTCACAACGTGGGACTCCGAATAGATTCATTTGAACTTGTATGGAGAACTCTGCCTTACAAAATATAGAAGAGCAGATGCCCTCATTTAAAAAGCAACATTAGACCAATACAAATCAACTCTCATTCAAGTCTGAGACAAAAGGCATAATCTTCCAGAACAACTGTGATACAACACCTTGAGTCACAGTGCAGATCTTGCAGAGAATTTTAATTTCTGTTGAACTGCTAACATGACTACTCCTACTTTCTCCTACCACAAATGCACAGTTTAACAAGACATCAACACAGAAGCACCAAAAGCCAAACAATTCCCAAAAGCAGAGGCCACAGCAGAACATGGCACCCCATCGTGAAAACACTTCTGGAAAACTGAATCAGATACAGAACAGAAAGTTAGCAGGAATGGACAAAGAAATTTTGCTAAGTGTCTTGGGATTGTTTGCATTACGTTCCAAAACTCACTGTCACGTACGGTAACAACACTTGTTACAATTGCTGATCTACCACAGAAACCCTCGCGTGGCATTGCCCTCAGCCATCAGTTGAAGGAGCTCCCTACAGACATCCTCTACAGTTCCCTCCTCAAAAGGAAAACCAGGCCTGAAGGTTATGATTTAACATACCTATATTTTGTCCCCACAGTAACTAACAGAACCAGGCAGCACAAAGAACAGTCGAAACAAATGCCACAGCTAACTTGTAACATCTACAAGCATTAAGAATCCTATTTTTCACCCAGTACTGTAACTGCAAAATGCAATCTTTATCATCACACAACCTTTCCCAAAAGAAACAAAAGGATATTTTCAATGTTTCTGCGCAAGTTTTCATTGAGTTTTGCTTCAAGTTCACCAAGTTCTTCTTCTGCCTTTCTAACATCTTTTTGCAATTCAAGACGAGACTTTCTTGTGTCGTAATAACCACCAGTCAAAGCACCACGATGGCTGACTTGATCACCTAAGAGCACAGCACAACAAGACTATAAGTAGCACATCATTTATTCTCTGTGGTATCTGGAGCAGTTTCTGTAGTACAGTTTGGTAGTATGACTAGAACATTTCAGCTAAGCTAAACAAGTGCTGCATCAGTATAAGAAGTTGCTATTTACAATGAAGACTTTACGTAAAGTTCTGTAATTGGTGACGTAGCTGTTTTGGTGTTCCATTTAAAGTATATTTCATTCTTCAGCACCAACACAGATTGCTACTACTATCTCCTTTAAGAAAAAAAAAAAAGAAGCCCTGCTCTACAAGGCACAGATTCTGCTTTATTTCTCCCTCGTCCCTTAGGAGAGTTTTCAAATTGACTTCCAGAAAAAGAGATAAATAGTAAACCTGCACGGAATCTGCACTGCAGGAACAGGCCACTGTCAGAAGACGCTTTAGGGAACACTGTGTAAATGCACCTGGTATGCTGAAAAAACATCTTGCACTTATCAGTAATTAAAGCCACATCTGAACCCTCAGTGCTGCTTTAAGTTGGTGGAATAAATCATGAATACTTCAGGAGAACAAAGGCCTTCTGAATTTGAAAGAAGGTGAACACAAACTGTCTACCTTGCAGTTGTCAGGATGGAGATACAGCTACTAACTTTTACATCGTAATATGATTAAATAATTGTGAGGAAATCCTGCATTTTTAGTACTGCACCTAACCAAGCGTAGCTGTGTATTCAAAATAATGTAGCTGAGACATAGTCTTATTTTGATAACACTGACAGACTAAGCATAATGAGTCTCACTCTTCAAAGGATCCCACTTTTCCAGTAAATAATTCATCTAATTGCAACATTTACCTTCCAGTGTAATACAATCCATAGTGAAAGCTCTGGCCAGCTGGGTAGATACTTCCATGCTACGACAAATCAGAGTCTTTCCAAACACGTGTTTGAAAGCTTTGTCAAATCTGGGATTGTATCTCAGTTTGCTGATCATAGGAATAGCATCCTGAAGGGACAGTGGTTATAATGAAACAGTGCAGTGACACAAACAGATCAAGCATATTGCAACTAATTCAAGCAAGCCCTAGAAAATAAAGAAACCACGTCAAAAGTCAAAACATCATACACTGCCTTATAGCACTACATTCTTGAAAGTTAAGCATATCTCAGATTCACTGAAGATGAATGCATGCATTCACAATCAGACTTCTGGAATGAAGACTTCTGGAGCTCCATATATCACTATTTAGACAATGTCAAACTCCAAACTCAAAGCACAACACTGCAAATGACGACTTTGGAAACACACAAGGGGCTGACACTCTGATTAAACAGGCAATACAGACGTTGCATGGAAATCAACAGCAAGATTTTGCTATCTTAGTTTTTAGCAGCTAGGCTTGAGCATTAATAGGGCAGCTAGGAGTCTGCTGGGTATTTGAGTATTACATTACAGAAACTATTTCAACAATTACCATTAATTGGCTGCAAATAAAAAGAAATCCACCAAGGAAGAGTCTTCCATGGCAAACAGAATACAAACGTTCATACAGTTTTGCTGGTAAAGCCCTCCCAAATAGGCACACAATAGACTGATTCTTTTCTATTTATCTTTTTTTCCTATGTATACCTGAGGGGCAAAGGGACAGGAAAGGAAATTTTAAAGAACTTATTCTACTACAAGGTCATAGGAAGTCATTATATTTAAACAGTTCACTAAGTGTCCAGTAAGAGCAGATTCTTTCTTGAAATACATTTTAAAGATACTTTTAAAACAGCTGTCACTAAAGATTTTTTTAAAATATCAAACACAAGTCAGTCCAAACAGCTCTGAGAAAGTCTCCACAGCTGCAACACAACACTATCCTTCCCTTCAGCTTTTGTCCATGGCAATCTTTCAGCTAAAGAATTCAAGTTTAGTAATTCATGCAATTATTATCAGATTGTAGAACTTCCTATTGCTATATTATCAACCACGTACTCTGCAGGTGGAGTTTAACTTTGAAGAAGATATAGCATGTAGCAAAGCATTTTCCAACAGAAGGGTTTCCAACCTTGAGAAGCAATAAATTAATGGCAGTATTTAACTGCAGACATCCGACAAAAGAAAGTGGCAGGCAATACAGTTGAAATAACAAAGGCTAATATTTATGGAGAAAACAGGTTCAAAATGAACACTCACATTAGTCTCAGGATAAGCAGTATCTCGAACATCTAGCTTGTTCAGTGGGAGGAATGTAACTTCTCCAGGAAGGTTCATTTTGTTAAATTCCATTAAAATTTTTGTACTGACTTCATCAGAATCCACAATGTGATAAAATAACCTAATTAACAAGCCCCAGAAAACAAGAAAAAAAAATCTTCAATGTGTCAAAAGAACAAACATTTGAATGAGAACATTTAGCATTCAGGTAGCATTACCTGTCACTATAAAGCCAAGCTGCATTTGCTCTACTGCTTTTAAGCACTGCTGTCAAAGCAAGCAGATGGTACTCTTATTAGAACTACATAGCTTTTAAAAAGCCGTTGGCTATTTAGAGATAACCCTAATATATAAGATATTCTAGTGTAAGTGAAAAAAAACTCCTACTGTTATTGAAACATCAGCATTACTTACCATAGAATGCACCACACCAGGAGATTCCTTGCAAGCATCAGGAGCATCTCTCTTGGGCCTATCTGCCTTCCCACTCCCTCCCCAGTACCCTCCCACCTTGAAACAAGATTAAGAGAAGTTAGAATACACTGCTAAAATCTGCAGAATTCTTAGTCCCTTCTTGAAGGGAAAGTGTGACGAGGCCACACAACAGTGCTGGATGAATAAGGACCAGAGCTCAAGACTGAGAGGCAAAGTAACTAATATTTCAGATAGAACGAGCACAGGTCCATTTGTAACACTGCACCAAGGTAACACTGAAGAGTATGCAGTTACCTGTTCCCTGCAGTAACTTCAACACACGTGTAGAAAGCTGGTTCACATTCAAAGTTGTTCATCACAATGCCATGATAGCCATTCAGAACGTGCTGGTTTATTCCTTTTCGACGGAAGTGCTCCAAAACCTTGTTTATGCTGTCGATACCATTCAAAATGGCCTGTTAAAGCACAGATGATTACTGCACCACAATTACAAGGTCTAGAAAAAAGTATCAGCTTTATCCCCAACTTCTAAAGAGCAGTAACCATCTTTCTTGACAAACTGCTGCTGACTAATGAACATACCTAAAAAAAAGCTGAGCGTACTACATTCAGGGTAGATTGCTTTTTTAGAACAAGTATCAAAAGGAATTTGGTAAGCTTTCCGTTTCTACCTCATCTTCTCACCTCTCCTCTAATACCTTAAGCTTACAAAATGAATTTCAAAATACTTCTAGAGCTGAAAATATTTGTAGAACAGCTTACATAGAAGATTGCCTTATTTTAAGTAAAGATAGTAAGACTGCAAGCAAAGGAAATAACTTCAAAAGAGTACTACCACTTTTCCTTTAGGAATGGGGAAAAAAAAGCTTACAAAAGAAGTTACAACAAAAAACACAAGGCCTCCTACCTTTCCTGTTGCTGCTCTGAGAAGCTGCTGTTTCTTTTCCAGGTCTTCCCGCTTAGCAGCAAGAGCCTGTTGCTCTGCGTTCTCCTCTCTCCACAGATAACTGCACAACAACCACAGTTCAAGTACTTTAGGGGTGAATGAAGTCTGAAGCTTTTTTTTAATCTAACAGCTGCTAATCGAACAGAAGGGCTAAGTACAGAAGTTCATACATGGCTATATTTAAAAACATACCTACATGCCATGTTAACAACTAGACAGTTGGGGTCCTTCACATTAAGTGAGGTTCAGACATATTTCAATTAATTACTAACTTTCTTTCGCTCTGTAGTTCATCCTTTTTATTTTTCACTTCATAGTACTTTCTGTCCAGTTCTTCAACACGAGCCTTCACTTCATTAAGATCTTGGTCCAGTTTCTAACATAAAGAAAAGATGACTATGAAACTGCAGCGTTCTTTAGTTACAATTTTTATGCTCCCTCCCCCCTCCCAATTCAATGCTTAATTACTACTCAGAGTTCAGAAACAGTTCCTACAAAGTTTTCCCACCAATTTACAAATTACAAAAGCACTGTGTCAGCAAGTAAGTAGTGCAGACATGGGGATCAAAACAGGCACAAAGCAGGCACAGACAAGCTGTGCACCTGGGCATTTTTCAGTGAAACAGCTCACCAGTTCATGGTAAGAAACTGCATCAAAACAGCTACTACCATCAACAGCCTCGTGTAACAGTGCTCTGAAGTAACACTTCTGATCAGAACATACATACTGGTCTTTCATCCCAGGCTGCTAGTAGTGAAAATTCTAGCCTGCTCTCCTGCTTTACCACAGCTACTGCCAAAAGCACGCTGTTAAGCTATTGCACAGATCTCCTCCTCTCACTCACTCCACACCTGCCATTCTCAAAGCAGGCTGGGGCTAGCACCCAGTTCATGTTTGCACTATTATCTATCTACAGGACTAGTAACATGCTCAAAACCAGAAGTTTTTCCAACGCAACATGAAGTTTCACTTGAGACAACCTCCTTCTGAACAACAAAATGCTATGCAATTCTTAGCCTGTGCATAAAGCAGCCTTCTTTCAGTAGAAAAGAACAAAAATTAACATCAGTTCTACATAATGCTTCTTACTGAGCCATGCAATATCATTACAGACAGCCTATGGTAAGCATCAGTTCTTTCATAAATCAACTGACAGAGTCATCATTTAGCTAATGCATACATCATTCATACAGCTTATTTCACCAGAACACTGTTTTCTCTGTACAGCTACATTCCTGTATTTCTCCCAGGCTGACCTGAATTTCAGTTAATCAGACAAACACTGCACATGCCCATCAATCAGCACATGCAGTGCAGCAGCACTGGCACTGGATGCTCTCCTACTCTAAGCAAAGGGGTTTTTACTCATGCAGCTCCAGCTGAAGTGATATTTCTGGATCTCTCTGCTTTATTTGAAGTGAGAGCTGCTTCTGAACACACAGATATCAGAATCTAAAAGTTATGCAGATAATACTGAGAGAATAACCTTCTTTCACAGAAAAGGGTCTCATTCCTAACTACAAAACTGCAATTGTGGTGCAAAGGCAAAGTGCTGGCAGCAGAGCTTAGAAGATCTTGTTCTCTCCTTTTCCCCTAAAGAGTGTTAAAACACCTAACATTCATCTCTATGGAACAGCCATGTCCAAAACAGACAAAAGCAAGGCAGCTGTGTCTCTTTCTGAGAACTCAGGCCAAACATTTTGGGTAAAAAATCAGAAGGTAAATGTACATAGCAAAGTTTGAAGTAGTGCCAAAGGGAGGTTCAGAGTCATCTATGGGTATTTAAGGAAAAAAAAAAAAGCAAAACTGTATCCACATTTTTTTTTTCCCCCCTAAAGATCCCACCCAGAAAGAGAGCTGCATCGTCCTTTGGGGCACTAAGTTTTATTAGTTTGTCCAAAATTAGATTGAGTGTTTATTACTTCTCAGTATTTTGAGAGAAGAATGAAGATGAGAACTCACACTGTACTGTTCCAAATTTTTCTCCTTATTTGCCTCTGTATCCTCTAAATCCTTGTGTATAGCTGCAATCTGCCGCTTCTTGTCATTGATTGCTTGATCTAGAGACTTCAGTTCTTTCTTTATCCACTTATCTCTTTCTTCTTTGGATGTGAACTGGCTTCCCCGACCTTGCTTTGCATAAAGATCTGTTCTTTCCTGCGTAGCCTGTGCAAGTCTATTTTGAGAAGGGGAAGAAGTGCTGCATTACAAAGAACTGTTGAATCTATGAAGAAAAAGCGCTGTTAATTACCATAAGAATTTTCCAAAACAGTGAAATCAGGCTCTAGTTAAAGCAGTCATAAAAAGAAAAGCATCATAGTATGAACAAGACAATCATGCAGAAGACTTCATAAAACAGCAAGTTCATAGAACTCCACAAAGTGGTTAATTAACTTCACTGAATACTGATTTCCCCACCAGTTCAATACCCAACACAAAATGAGGCTTATATTTAAATAGAGAGCATCTATAAACACTCCATCCTCAAATATTTAATAAAACCTTAAATATACTGCACATCTGTTCTGCTAGTATCATGGCTCTTTCTATAATGCTCAACTCCCCTCACTGCAGAACTACAGACCTAGCAATTCCTCTCTCTTCTTTCTCTTTTACACTGTTGAACTTCGGCTCCGTTTCTGCTAATTCTTTCTGTTTCTCCTCAATTTTCTCAAGAAGCTTTTGCCTCTCCTTTAACAGCCTTTTCTGAAAGTGAAAAAAGGCAATAATTAAAATGAGATAGTAAAAGAAACTCTACTAAT